TTAAGATACGGGTTACCATCTTATTTTTGCAAAAACAAAAATTGGATTTAAATTGTTGCAAAATAAAGATAAACGGTGTAGGTGAATCCATGATCTAACTTGGCAAAGGAAAAAAAAAATAGCATTTTTTTTTGGTTTTAAGCTAACAAACACAGTACGTGAGAATATAAACACAGTGACAAAACTGTTTAATATTACAAGAGCTTGGCGCAACTAAGATGTTCCTTTAGACCCAAAAAGAGGAAAAATTGGAGTAGCAAAAGAAGTGCAAATGATACGATATTACGATGTGATATGAAAACTTGTGGAAGAATCATTGACTTAGAATAGAGTTTGGCTTGGCTTCCTTCTGTTTCAGGCGAGCAACATGTTGGGAATTATATTGTTCATGATTGACGCATATACTTTGTTTGTGACATAGCTAAAACACATGTCCAATTTCTCTACTATACGCTTAGCCTTGTTCAAAAAAAAAAAATGAAGGTGCGTTCATCGCGTTCACGTAACGCCCCAAACATTAACAGCTTTAATTTAGTTTTCGATACAAATTGAAAAGAAAAAAAAAACTAATAAGTAATGTCGTAATCGTACGGTATTAATATAATCACACTTGACATATTAATGAACCGTACCTATGAGACCTACATATGTTAAAAGGCTGCTAATTAGGTACATGTTGATCGACAGCGAGAGCAGGCTTTAAGTACTCCAAGACCATTGGGTGGTTATTGTATTATCTCACTTTTGCATTCTTTTGATATTTAAATTACTATACTCGAGCATCAAGTTGCCCTTCAAACTCCTCAAGAGTTGCACCTTTTATGATTATCAAAATATATTAGTACCATGAAAAAGCTTTCATTGTAGTAACGCAAAAACAGAGTGTCCTTTGCCACTATTCCATATGCCCTAAGGCCAATATAGCTTGTGACCACTAATCATTAATTAAGGATTAAACCAAATATGGAAAATAGGTTAGTTGGCTCTTAGCTTTCAAATCAGCCCCAACCGTCAATTTAAAGATCTAGAGACTAGCATGATCTTTGCTCAGTCCCACCACCATGATTTAGACAAATTGATATTCCCGGACTTTGATTTCAATTTTAAATATATAATGTATTATTTTACTATTCTCACACTTGTTATAATAAATTTGAACAAATTAAAGACACAAGCTACAATACTAATACATACTATTTTGATCATAAATGTTTTTTGAGTTTTGAGCGTCGTGGATACAGTATTATATATCCGTTATCACCAAGTAGAAATAAAGATTACCATATAACTGGGGATGCAAGTTACTATGAAGTAAATATAGAATTTAATTTTATTCGAATTAACTATGAATTTATACATACAAATCTAGAGAATGTATTTGACAAAAAAAAAAAAAAATCTAGAGAATGACCAAAAAATGGGTGTAACTCCATGTTTTTTTTGTTTTAACTCCATGTTATGTTATTAACAACAAACCCTAATTGATCCATATACAGTTGCCGCTTTACCCTCTCCTTGGACTTCTATTTTGAACGTGATATAGATGTTTGATTTATAGTATCTTTTTTTTTTATCAAAATAAAGTTTGTGGTTGGTGGAACGAAACTGATGTTGCATGTCCAAAAAAATGCTTCGTTTCACATTGGTGTATTAAATTATATGAATGCGTCGATGGATATGTTCGTGTGATATATCAAGTTTTTATCAGTTATGAAATGTTTAAGTTTCTTACATAATTTATCAATTACAACTCTTATTATTAATCTGTGGAATTACACAATGGTAGAACCATTAATTATGTGAATCCACAAAAAAAAATTGATTAAAACATAATGTTATGGGTTAAGTTAGCAGTATATATTGTCGCTTTGATGAGTTTGATAAAAGGGTTTTGTGCAAAAAAAAACCTCTAAAAATGAAGAATAATCCTATGAAGTCCAAAATAATAGGCAATCTAATCCTTTTTCGTTATTTTCAAGTTTTTAAAATTGTGATTAATAATATATCAAATCGAAGCCCTCAAGACGACGAGTGCAATTCTACCTTTATAATTTTAAAAATCAAATGTATGTGATCGGGAAAACGTTTCAAATATATACATAAGGGCTATATTGTCTATTATTTTAGACTTCATAGGATTGTTCTGCATTTTTCGGTGATGGGGGTAAAGTTGCAAAAAATGGCAACTTTGAGGTTTTTTTTGCACAAAACCCTTGATAAAATCAAGATTATTATACTTTATTTAAAATCTTATATAACCAATCATTGTTAAATTAAATTAACTAATTACAGCTTATTTTAATCACAATGACAAAAAAAAACATCAAGCCTTAGCGAAGTTACGAGAAACAAAGCGATTCAATTAAAGTTCAAGACTTATCGATTACAAACAATTACGAAAAACACACCGTGAAGAAAACATAGAAACCATAGCTTAGCTAGTACACGTCGAACGCACCCACAACATCTTACTTTGTCATAAGTAAATGTCTAAGAACATTACCATAGCATCTTAGTTTGTCACAAAAACATACAGCTAGTGGCCAATTCCTGGACTGTTCCCGGGGTTGGTAGGCCGAAATGCATCCAAAGAATGATCTTCTGTCGTTAACTTGCTCGATAGATTCGAGTTGCGGACAGCAAATTTCTTAGAGATATTAGAGATTCCCGATGAATTCAAAGGTCGACCTTCAACGATGTGAGATTCTTGAATGAGAAACAGAACTATTAGTAGTAGTACTAAGCTACTCAAAGTGCATTTAGCCATAGCAGTTATGAGAGAGTGTTAAATGTTCAAGATTAAACGAAACGAATAAAAATAGCTTAGGGATATTGATTTATGAAGAATGAATGTGTGTATTAATGGCTTCAGCTCTAGATGGCTATTTATGGAGACGAAAAATGACTAGCTTGACCATGCATGTGAACCTCCAACAAACAAAGCAAATCAATTATTTATTTATAACATTTACGGTCAAAATAATCTAATAGTATTATATACGCATGGAAATAATTAGGAGTTTATTTATAATTTCCAAGCTTCTGGGAAGATTTGGTGAATGGAGTTTATATGCAAACATATAACGAAAAAAACATGGAACAAGAAAATGGTGTTGCTATAAAACTTTAGTCCATGAACGAAATTTACATATAACATATGCATGTATAATTGTATACCAAAAAAACACACACACACACAAAGTAACCATCCTTTGAGCTATGATATTTGTTTAATTATGTAGGGGAACTGGCCGGAGAAGTAACCAAAATTATTGATATAGGATAAAAACCTTTTCATTAACAAAAGTTAAATCGCTTGATCAACTGCATGCAACTAGGTATATGTAACAATTTATTAGAGATTGTATTCTTTTCTAAACTTGTATATATTTAAAATTTGCAAATTTTCCTCTTGAATCAACAGAATATCATTATAGGAAAAAAAGAGTATATGATGATTTCGGTGAATATTTGGACCGAATAATAAAATGCATATTCCTCGGACTCCATACTAGTTCAGACCAAATTGAGGTGAATGTGGTCATTCGTTAAAAAGTATAAGAAACAGGTGCACGTTTATTAGACTGTTATGATTCATGAAGCAGCTACGTCCTTTTAACTATATACAAATTTTATTTTATTTTGCTAAAGAACTATATACATTTTTAAAAGTTTCTTACATAATTTTGTTCATATTCTCAGGAGATCTCGTGATTCAGGATTTGACAATTGGCATAAAATATATAAGTGTTTGTGACTGCACATGCTTATGAATCTCTTGTTCCGGTGCTTTATGGCCAGGCCTATTGCTGTATGTATGCATATGTAGGCTAATTTTGCTGTAACTCTATTAAATAAATTATATAGTAATACTTCATGAGTTTGACATAATGTGCATATTATCATTTGATTTCTGTACGCAAATTTCAAAGATACCACAAATTTTTGAAATTCTAGAAAAAAGTTGTGGCATTTTTAGAAAATAAATAAAAACAAAAAGAGTATATTTTGACAACGAATTAAAACTCTTAATAAGTTTACTAAGAATTTTATTAAAAGATCAATTATTTCAAATGTTTGATTGAGTAAAAAATTACGTATCATCTTACCTACATCTAGATAGATGTAGACAAATGTCAAAAAGCACCAGTGGTCTAGTGGTAGAATAGTACCCTGCCACGGTACAGACCCGGGTTCGATTCCCGGCTGGTGCATTTTCTTTTTGGTAGAATAGTAGTCTGCTTTTTGTTCACTCCGGGCCTCTGGGCATATTCGCTTTTCAAGATTTTGCTTTAAAAAGTGAAAAAGTGATTTTGGTAGACTTCCAGCTTTGTCGTTGCCCTTTTCTCACTCACACTGTTCAACCTAATAATTTGCCTTCATTTTTTATTCAACAAAATAATTATGATGAACTTAAATTATTCTATTGAAACTTGTTTCATCATTCCAATTGCAAGAAAGAAGAATAGTTATTTAAAATTAATTCAATGATTTTATCATAAACTTCAACCGCATGGGTGATGGAGAAAAAAAAAGGGTGCAGTTAATAGAACTCAATTAAGTTATTTTCCTTCTCCCCAATTTCGAAATCTTTAAGCTTTTATTTTCTTATACTATAGTATTAATCACCAAACTTTTATTAGAAAAGAAACAAACACAAAAGTACGTAGCACTAAATTATCTTTCTTTTTTTATATAGTTTTAAAAATCGTCAAAACCTGTCTTCATGTACTCAGTACTTTGATATTCTTCCTTTTGCACATGGCAAGTATTAAGAAGCTCACTGCGAAGTATCAACAATGTATATTATAACAAGCAAACTCATGCAAGAAACTAAAGTTCTTTGACTTAGAAATATTAAAAATAATTAATATATATATAAAAGTGTCAAATTAATTGAAGTGAAACACAGATCGAAATTAATTTTATTAATTATCTGGAATAATGCTTAATCGATCCCATTACAAGTGACATATCATATACTAAACACGTACGTACGCTAAATTAAAACTGCACTTGCACAATAATTTTAAATTTCATATTAATTTAGCAAAAGCAATGAAGAAGTACGCTAAACTATGAAACCTTTTCTAACAATTAGGCTCATTGTTCTTGACAGTATGTCCAACGCCGGGACTATGTCCTGGCGTCGTAGGTTCGAAGTCATCTTTATACCCTTCAACATTTTCTTCATTCTCCTTCATCTTATGACCAATGCCTGGACTGTTACCAGGAGAAGTAGGCCCAAAATCATCAGTGTACCCGACTGTGAAATGACGATCATCATGATCTTGATCGTTGGTTTTCCGCAACTGTCTCGCCTCGGTAAACTGTATTTTGTAAAATACCGTCGAAATGAAGAGAATACTAAGAATAATATAAACTGAGAGTTTCATGTTAAAAAAAAATCTGTGTGAGGTTATAGTGTCTAGTGTTTATGAGAGAGGGAGGTAGAGATTACCCAACTTTGGCTTATGTTTTTAAGTTTGTCGGAGAGATAGATGATCGTTTTTATAATTGTAATGTGGGTGGAACAATGAGCACAGTGATTTAATTTGGACCGTTCGTGTATCAATTTTCATAACTATAAAAATGCATAATGTGAATTAAAAAGTGAGGGGTGATAGTATTTAACATTCGCTATAATAGACAATCGATATATGGACGGCATGTATCCAAGCTGAAGAAGGGAGGTTTTCAAATTGTCAATTGGTTATCTTTTAAGGTAAATATAATATCAAAACGTCGGTTTCAATCATCATAAAAATATAACTCAACTTTATATTTATATATGTTTATTTTTTGGCAGTTATTTTAATTGTAATAGTAAACAAATCAAAGAATTATTTATTCAACAAAATCTAGGCGTGGGATTTTCAGCAGAGGTCCTGAATCTCCCATAGTGCTCCATTGTTGAATATACCAACTCATACTCGTATTGTCCTTTTCTTTTATTTTTGTTAATTTCCCAGTGATAGAACATGGTTGGTGATTTAAATTAAAAAAAACATGGTTAGTTTATATTTAATTATAAGCATGAACGGAATATAGTATACTTTTCAGAAGCTATCAATTGAGATAGAAGAAAAAAGTTTATAAGCATGAACAGAAAAACGTGTTCTCTGATCCAATCATGATTCAACAATTGTTATATTATATTCAAAATGGTTTCTTATTTGTATTGTATTGGGAGAAATACTAAAAATTCCCGAAGGCTAATTAAGTTCTACAAAAGCCGCCCTTCCCTAACCACAGAAAGGCACTGATGTTAGAAGGACCCTCTCCCATCTGGCCATCTCCATAGATAATATATATACAAAAGCTTTTAAATAATTTATTTAAGAAAATCGTACAAATCGGTTTAAAAAAAAAAAAAAAAAAAAAAAAAAAAAAAAAAAAAATCGTACAAATCTTGAAAGAAATCCCGTTTTTTGTTTACATTTTCAACTTTTAGTATTTTTCAGTATGAAATAATATATATTTATATGTAGATATGGTTGTTGGGAATTGGAATATATCTCTTTCCAAAATCTATTGCAATGTGCATGATTTTTATTTTAGAGAGACTTTCTATAGCTATAACTTCATTTATTCAGTAAAAAATATAGTGCTAAAAAATTAATTCAAATACGTGTTCTAAAAAAGTTGGCTATATATTGCGAAATTGCAATACCTGAGATTCCCTAGGGTTTTTTTGGACATCAAACCTGAGATTCCCTAGTTATATGATCATATTCTTGACTTCTAAAGTAAGTATATAAGTATATTATAAAAGTTGGACAATCATAAATTTTTACAATATTGGATTAATATATTTTAAAAATATTAAAATAACCCTAAAACTAATCCCCGGTTAATCCCCGATTTTAATCCGATTTTCCGATTAATCGCTAGGTCCATGCCGAGCGCCCGACTAGCGCCTAGCGATTTTTCAAACAAGGATAAATACTATGTATTTAAATTAATTTGGCCTCTGAAACCGTTTTATGATTTTTATGACCGTAAGAAAGCAGTGCAAGATTTAAAGAAACAGAAGGATTTATACGTTTTCCACATTCTTTAATTAGTCTTGTATCTGACTAATTTTAAGTATGCATAAGTGTAATAATAGTGTTTGTGGCGTTTGAAATTTATTTTCTTGAAGTCTTAATTTTAATTTGTTCTGAATTTAATTAGTATTCTAGATGATTATTAACTATTGGTAATGCATAATATGATGAAAACGTACACTGTTTATTTTCAAACGATTTTTTTGTTTTTTTTGGTATAAAGAACGGTAAATTCAACTTGTAATAAATAATTAAGTCGTTCTTTTTTCTTTCAGAAGATTGAAATACATTTGATTACATCAAACCAAATCGTATGTTTTAAGTAATCATGTTGAAACTATCACATGCAAAAAATTTGAATCGAAGTGTTATCACACTTTAACCTATTCAACCAGTATGAGAAAATTTCGTTTAAGACTATGTTTTTATTAGTATATAAGATAAGTAATTAAATGTCGGCATGTGAAAGTTTTATATAGACACTTGTTTTCCTTTACGGTTCGTCCGTCCATTTTAAAACCTTTATTTATAAAGTGTCCGACAACGCCGCCATGCTTGTAAGAGTATAATATTCAAAATTAATTTAAAGAGAAATTTTTTAACAAAAATTAATCAAAAACGAGCGAGAAGAAAAGTTAGTTCGTGAGTGATGGAGGAGAATCAAGTCAAAGCCATCAACATAACCACTAACTCCTCCCTACCACTCACTCTTTCTTTGTCGTTTGTCATTTGTCATTATTAACTTAAGTGTTTTTATTAGCAAATAGGTATAGAATTATTATTACCTTTAACTTAAGTGTTTTTGTTAGCAAATAGGTTTAGAGTTTCGACTGAATTTTAGATAAATAAACGGAATCTAAACATGTACAATCAAGAGTGATAAAGGGTATTTAAGTAATCACATAAAAGCAAGGGCTCAACAAGAGCTGTGAGGCCGACACATCAGCAAAAACACTTCTCAAATATTATTATATATAGATCATATGCGACTCACCTAAATACCGAGAAATAAAATATTTATTTATATCTAATCAAAATACATATTTATGCATATGTATTTCGATCTTCGTAAGCACTTGCTTTCAGAAATATTTACAGTGTTATAGATTCAAATGTAGTTCGAGCATCTTCAATTGGAGTATGTTGTTACCCCCTCCATTTATAGAATAAAAAGTGACAAACATAACGAGGGGGGAATTCTTAGAGAAGATATTATCAACTCTTGTTAAGAACCTTTCTTACACTTTGCCTTTTTTTAGTTAGCTAATATTTTGTTTTAAAACTAAACTAAAGTATCTAATTAAGTTATACAAAAATATTAATATTTTAATATTAAAATACCCATAAGGGGTTCTAAACCTACATAGATGCTCTTATGACTATAAGTTAATGACAGTTTATAAAAAAAAGAGCCTATAACACATGCATGGACATACAAAAAAGAAGTGAAGAACTATCAAATGAATTTTTTTTCATTATCAATTTTATGAAACATACGTTCCATTTGAATTTCTCGAACGCTTTATAAAGTTTGTATTTTAAATAAAACTTGTGTTTAGCGTCAAGGATATTCCATAGTTTTGAATATTCGGGCTACATATAAAAAGTATATGCAGCTATATAATGACATGTTGAAAAGTGAAAAGGTTGATTTTTTAATTTGGTTGGTTCCCACACGCAGGGAAGTCGTTTGAAGGGCCTACCACATAGTCTCCGACCACAGATCTTTTCCATTTTGTTTTATTTTCAATTTATTCTGTACATAGAAAACTATATTCTGTATTTAAGAAACAATTAGCTATATATAATAAAGGGGTTTTGTATAGTACGAACTACGAACACTATTTATGATAATAACTAAATTAAAAAGAACAACAGTACTGAAAGAAAATTTGAAAGGAGTGAAGCCATTGATTCATAATGATGACAAGAAAAAAGTCAATATTTATAATTAATACAACTCAATTCTCAACCATCAACCTAACGGTTATTATCATGCTTAATAATCAAACACCAACGTCACTTACATATACTCGCAAATCATAGCAGCACCAAAGCCGTCACTTTATCGCTATCCAAAATTAACCCACGGATTATATATATTGCATGTAAACTGTGTATATAAAAATTAGCAATTCTTATTGTATATTTTGGCCATATACAAAGTGTATATTTTGTAGGTCCCGAATGATTGCTTATTATACTCAACCACGACTTGAAAAAAACATAAATCATTTTATTCCACGAAACGAGTTTAAGAAAAATTAAAACGAACAACATTAAATCATGACTTCACAACACATATACACATGTGAAATTGCATGAAAATGATTAATTATGGGATAAACTATGGCCAATGCCAGGGCTGTGGCCCGGGGTTGTAGGCCTGAAATCTTCAGCCTCTTTACCTCCCGATTGTGACGGCGATGGTGGTGGTGGTGGCGGCGAGAACTGCACTGTCTTGTCATCAACCATCATAACATTGTGCTTTGCCAATGCCATCATCGTCTTGCTATCATCGTGACCACCATCAATCTTATCATCAACTTTTAGGGTTCGTCCATGGCCGCAATTGAACCCTAGAAAAAACACCATCATTAAGAAAATACAAGCGTACAATGTTTTCTTTTGACCCATAGACGATTCCATTGGAAGAAAAATGGGAGAAAAAGAAAACAGAAAAAAAGGAAAAACTAATTAATATCGCTGTTAAGGACTCTTGGAATATATTTGAGAGTGGTGATGTGAAGTAACACTTGCTTCTATGGGGGCATTTATATAGAGATTGGACCTGCTTAATTATTTCCAATAAACTAGAAAGTCGACTTTGTTTATTATGATTATTACAAAGTAGGTGGCATGCTATTATATTCTATTTAAAATACATAACCAGTGCAAGAAAACATTTTTTTTTTTTTTTTTTTCAGTGCAAGAAAACATGCAAAAGAATGGAATCAAAAATTTTAAATTACGTTTGAATTATATATATATATATATATATATATAGTTTTTTTATGTATAAGAAAATTCAAGAATGAGAAATAGAAGACATACTCAAATTTGATAAAATGAATCAACATTCTGTATCATTTACGTGTCGGAAACAAAATTAAAGATCATATACCTACAGTATTCATTATATATGTTTGATTAAATAGTAAAACAATAATTAAGATTTTCATTCAAAAAGACACAGCCGAAGCTTTAATTAGCTTTACAACCTTAAAGTTGGTCAGACTCCGAATCAAAAAAAAAACCCTAGCGGTTCGGAGGCCAGGCCATGCGTTCTCCAATTACCGCTTTAATTTCTTTTTTCGTTTAATTTTGTTTATATTTTCCCCTTTTCTTGTGCTTTTTTGCCATAAATACTTTTAAAATCTTTAGCTTAATGGGCTTTCTATTAAGACCCATATCATCAACAAACTATAGACAAAAAATCATAAACCATTTTAAAGGCCTAAAAAAAATTGTTGTGTATTTGCATATATCCGTTTCAGGCCTAACAAGATCAGTTATTGGGCTTCTATTTTAACAGTTGCAATCCATCAGTAAAAAATGCGCTTGCTTATATTATTACCGTAATTCAATCTCTCAAAATGCCACGTGGCAATTGTTATGTGGGTTTGGATTTTCTTCTACTCACGAAACAAAATTTCACAAAGAGCGATCGTCGATCCCACACGCAGCTCTCTACTCTGAGATCGCGGCGCCGGCCGATTCTCGTCGCCGACAAGAGAAGAACCTAGGATGAGGGAAACAACTATGGATTCCACACCTGTGAATTGGGAAGCGCTTGATGCTCTCATCATCGATTTCGTTAGCTCTGAAAACCTGGTTGAAGACGACGCCGCCGCCGCCAATTCATCTCCATCTCCATTGTCGTCTCCTTCTTCTTCTTGCTCTCCTTCTATTTCCTCTTCGTCTTATCACTCCAGATTGATCATTCGCCGGATCCGAAACTCGATTGAATCCGGTGACATTGAGACCGCCATCGACATCCTTCGCTCCCACGCTCCTTTCGTCCTCGATGATCATCGGATTCTATTTCGCCTCCAGAAACAGGTGAATTTGGTTTCTTAGGGTTGCTGGAAATTTTGAATTGAGTATCGATTTTTAAACAGAATCTTTTTGTTTCCTGTGAAGAAATTTATTGAGCTGTTGAGAAAAGGAACACATGAAGCTGCAATTGGTTGCTTGAGAACTTGTGTTGCTCCCTGTGCTCTTGATGCCTACCCGGTACTGGAATATTCCATCCCTTGTTGTCTCTCTCTTTTTTGTAACATACTACACTCTTTTATATTTTATTGTTTTGCTAGATTCTTGTTTCTGAGTTCTCAATCTATGAAATTCTGACCTCTGCATATATATCTCAAGGAAGCTTATGAGGAATTCAAGCATGTTCTTCTTGCACTCATCTATGATAAAAGTGACCAAACCTCTCCAGTAGCCCACGAGGTATGCCATGCTTCTGCTTTGGATATTTTCTGATCTTGTGGACACAGAATGTTTTTTTTTTTTTGAACTGCTGCTATACATCATGCAGAATTTGTATTTTGGATTTTAAGGAATTGCACTTTCTGTTCTTCAGTGGGCAGAGAAAAGAAGGTATGAAATGGCTGGACTGATGTCATCTGTCTTGAGAGCTTCTTTGCAAGCATATGATCCACTATTTTCAATGACACTAAGATATCTGATAAGGTATATTCGTTTTCAACACTGTTTTTATCGATTGTTTTTTCGCTTAATCTGATGAATCATTTGTTCTACCTTACCAGCATACATAAAGGATTTTGCTTTCACCAAGGAATTTCCTCCGCAGTTTCTGATCTCACTCATAGACTGCTCCTGGAGGAACGTGACGCACCAGCCCCACCTCTGGAAAGCATGTATGAAGTACCACCGTTTGATGAGGTAACATGGCAGTTAGCTTCTTGATCATCTTGTAGTTGAAATGTCATTGTTTCTACATCTTGGCACTGTACTCATTTTTAATATCAAATTTCAGGTGGACATACAGGCTCTTGCTCATGCGGTTGAGCTCACTAGACAAGGTGCTGTTGATAGCATGAAATTTGCCAAAGGTGACCTTTTCCAGGCATTCCAGGTTTCAATCCTCAGTCCTACCTTTTTCTGCTTTATTCTCAATCCTCGTCATCTATACGCTGTTTAAATGGGATCTCTTGCCAACACTTTAGTTTGAGCTTAAGTTGTATATTATTTTCACTGACTATTATTGTTGTGTAACTTAATATATCTGCACTGCAGCCTAATTCTTGCTTCCACATGTTGCAGAATGAATTGTGCAGGATGCGGTTAGATGTTTCGGTTCTTGATGAACTTGTTAAGGAGTACTGCATATACAGGGGTATTGTGGATTCAGGTAGGTGATCAACCCCTAGGCAGTTTCAAGATCCTTTTTCATTTATTCTACCACTTTTTTTTTTTGTTTTTTGGCTTTTATGAATTTCTAATCGTTCTAATCTTCAATCAGAGACGCAAATGATCACAGGTCCTGCCAAACGCAACCAATCGGAGGTGGGCCGCAGCTTATCAAGAGATTGTTCTTCGGAAATAGATCTCAACACAAGTCAACATTCAGATATTGAGAATTATAGCAACAAGATTATGCTTGATGGCTCGCTCACATTTGACACTGACATGTCTTGCGAACAAGGAGGTGACGATGGCACACGTTATGGCAGCGAACCAACCAGCGTTTGTGAAGATTGCAGCACTAGCTGGTCAAATCAATGTGAAAATACAAGAGCTCTTCTTAGAATTAGATCCCATATGAATAGTGAGGGGAATAAACGCAAAAGATGGTGTGGGCGTACTGCTGAAATGGATTGTCTTCCTCGTCTTTCATTTGCCAAGTCCGAGTCTGGCATAAACCCTATAGAAGACAAGTATGAGATAGCCTTGGCACTGAAGGAATTGGTTAGCAGAGGGATGGCAGCAGAAGCTGTTTACGAAATCAGCACCATGGATCCAGATTTTTTCACACAAAATCCGGGTTTACTTTTCCATCTTAAGCAGGTAAGGGTGAAAGAACAACTTAAAGCTCTCTGTATATTCCCCTGAGAGATATTGTTTGTAACTTCTTCGTTTGGCAACGGAGGATAAACTTGTTTTTATATATAAATAAATGTACAGGTTGAATTTCTGAAGCTGGTGAGTGCGGGTGATCACAATGGAGCTCTAAAGGTCGCATGCTCTCACTTAGGTCCCTTAGCAGCCAATGACCAGTCTTTACTGAAGACATTGAAGGAGACTTTGTTAGTTTTACTCCAACCCGACGGAACCACACCTGGGAAAGATCTGCCTTTGAATGATCTGGCAAATATGCTACAGGTAACAATGTTTTTTAGTTTTGATCTCTTCTTCTGGTTTTGTCTGATGAAAGATCAACAAACAACTGGTGTTTGTTTCTGCCATTCCTTTTTAAGGTTTCTGTCGGTAATAGGCTCGGGATCGAAGAACCGAAGCTTATGAAAATAATAAAAGCGACGCTCCACACGCATACCGAGTGGTTCAAGCTTCAGATGTGTAAAGACCGGTTCAATAATCTCCTGAAGATAGACTCTTTGAAAGAAGTGAACACCGATTTGATCCGTGCTATCAAATCAAGATCAAAGAAAGATAGCAACACCAACTTGTCTTCTCAAGTGACGACGACATCTTCAAGCACCATGACATCTGAAGATGGTGGAAGCAGCAGCTTGATGATGATGACTCAGACTTCGCCAAGAGAAGCTTTGTGGGAAGAAAGTGCGATTCTTAAAGTAATGGTACGTTTTTCAAGATCCTGATGACTTTTGGATCAATTTCTTAATTTTTGTTTTCGATTTTGCTTACATTATATAGTATAGTGACGAGAGAGATGGTTTCAGGAATTTCTGGCGATGCCGAGGTCTGATGCAATTCAACTGCTATCACAATACAATGGAGACGCAGAGGCTGTGATTCAGCAACTCTTTGGTTAAACTTAAAACCACACCAGACTAGACCGAGTAGAACTGAGGCCGGTTTATTTTAATTTGGATGAGTTATCATTGGTTTATTCATTTCTGCATTTGTACATTAACTTTACACAGACACACTTGTGAAAAAGAAATAAATAAGTTTTATCAATATTTGAAGATGGAAGAATTCTTGTATTTTTAGTTACTTTGTGACAATTTTAGAAGAAGAAACAAAATTCTTCCTTTTTCTTTTCTTATATGAATGTTAACCAGTCACATTGCATGTAAATTTCTAGCTGCATTATATGGGAAAAGTGCAACTAAAGAAATGCTAGTAATTTTTGTATGACTTATTTCTGAATCTCTGATGCATATTAATCAGTAGATAACGCAGTCAACGAGAGAGAGGTTGGAGTTGAATGATAGATAATAGCTAATAACAAATGGACAGAGACAAGAGATCTATAAAGACGAAGACAAAAGACATATGCATTACTTCAATTTTTAAAACTGGAAATTAAATTTTCTGAACTACTCACACTCTGTTCTTTTTTTTTTTTCTTTTGTACAACCCCAAAAAAACTACATCCATTCCAAAGACAAAGATAGATCTAAATATTCAAAAAGAAAAATAAAAACTCAGAAGAATCGATGAAACATGAGTAGAGGAAAAGAGTTAAATGAAATAAACCATCTCCGTCAACAATACATAAGTGCCTTTTTTTAGTAACTTTTTCAGCTACGATTAACATTAATCAAATATTTATAAATTTGGAAGCAACCATGTTCCTAAATAAATAAACAAAGTGAAAGCTTTTTTTTTTTTGTTTTTAAACTCTACATACTCTTCTTCATCTCCCTGCAACTGGACCCTTCTCTCCCACCCATTGCTTCCTACATATTTCGAAAAAAGTATACTTTACATAACGCATTTTAGAGGAATAAAACAAATTACACGACTTTCATCGACACCATAGTCGATTGTTTTCACAAAATCAGAGAAAGTACCTGAGATTGTTTGTTGTTGTTAATCATATGAACAAATCGTTCCTCATTGTTCTTAGACCCGATATGGGCCCTCTTAAGGCCCAAAAGCCCTTTCCACCTTCCCTTAGAAGAAGAAGATGATGATGAGAAGATTGGTGGCTTGAGAGAGAAGATGTTGGTAGCATCACGTGGACCTTCTTCTTCGTCTTCTTCAACGAGAAGCTCTTCTCTCAATGTTCTCTGGACTTGATTGGTTTCCTTGAAAGGCAAAAGCTTTCCTTTAGAGAAAAGTTCATCAGCTGGCATCATTGTGTAGTTTGAGACAGAGAACTCGAAATTATCAGAAGAAGAACCCTCTTGTTTAGAGAGAGGGCTTGATCTCGTCGTCTTGGTCTTCTCAGGCTTAATCTCCACGAAATCGTTAGAGAAAGAGATTCTAGGACTCATGGGAGTACCACCACCATTGGAGTTGTACATTTCTAAGCATGCCATTAGAGACAGAGCTCGTTTGTGTTGAATTATAAACTCACTTTAAAGACACTTCCAGAGAGAGAGAGAGAAAAAGTTATTTTGGTAGGGACAGTCAATTGCACAGAGAGAGCCTTGTGCAGTATTTATATACTACTCAATTACTCATTTAGTTCTTATGCACAAAGGATCAATGATGAAGTCATAATAACTAAAATAGTATATAATATTACTATATATCTATTTTTTTATTTATTTTTTTTTTTTTGACATCTTTGGATCGACAAAGCCCGATCCATAACCAATCCCTACCACGCGGGGTAACGCGACTTAGTGGAGTCGAACTCCGGTGGGGAAGGCGGAGTCAAGTGGACTTAACCACTTGACTAAAGGCACATCCCCATCTATTTTTTTAATTTTAAAAAACTTTGTTGTTATAATCTTTTTTTCCCTACTTATATTTTTATTATGAAAGAAAATATTCATTGATAGGTGATTAGTTATATTATTTACTGTTTGGACAAATATTGAAATTTAACATCAACTCAATCTGTACAGAGTACAGTACAATAGAGAGTAATTACTTGGGATGGTGATGTCTTATACACGTGTCAATTGGCTGTTCGGCTATTGGAATTTGGACAAAAATAGGCCCAAGAATTTGTGCTGAGACACGCTCCGATACAGTTGCTAAATTGAAAACACATGGAACTGTTTTTTTTTTCTTTTTTTGTGGAGATAATTATGTGTATCTTTCATTAGCATAAAACATTAGGATATACTATAAGTCTCGATCGTCGAATATGGTATTTTTATCCTCGGTATTATGACATTTTCTGTATAGATTTTTTTTCTTTTTCTTCTTGGGTCAAAAAAAAGAAAGTGTTTAATTGGTTTTTTTTTTTTTTTTTTAGTGTTTAACTGGTTTTAGTGTTTGCCTGTTTGGTAACACACTTTACTGCAACTTTTATTTTTCTTTTGTTTCATTGTAGCTTTTTATTATCTGGATAATAGGAAGTGATATGCATTGCCAAAATGTCAGGTCGTGTACATATGACATGATGTTTTGTCATAATGTAATAGTTAAAATTAAATAAAATGGTGATTTAATTTCCATGTCAAAAGGTAACTAGTGGTTTGTTTTTTCAGGCTAACTAATTACAACCATGTTAACCAAAGTTAGGGCAGTGATGTCAAAAGAAAAAAAATAATAACAAAATTTTTTTAAGACACTGCCTATTTTTATAATATACTCATGTTATATTAGTAGATTAGAAAATTACTGTTTAGAAGTTGCGAAGAGTTTTGGCTTACATTTTTCTTGTTTTGAAAAAGACAAATACACACGTACGCATAGATAAGTATAAAATATTTATATAGAGTTGTCTTCTCGTCTAACAAATCAACTATAGAATAAAGTTTATGTGGATTTATGGCCATCTAGGATGATTCCGAGAGGCCTCCTTAAGATAACTTAATATATTATTTATTTACTATTAAGTCTATTATTGTAGTGAACTGGTATTGTTTTACTCCAATGTTTTTAATTTTTTTCAAAAAGAAATGAGTCTATTTAATGAGAATTCGGTGACATGTTATTAATTACGAAAAAATATAAATGGTCAACCTGCATTTACTTTCAATTTTTTTTCTAGTGATTAATGAAAAGATCCCTCCTTGGGTAGTTTTTTTTTTCAATTCTAAAGGTTCGCAACCAACAAAATATCAAGAGTATTGGGTAAATAAAAGCAATTGTGGGTCCAGAACAAAAGATTCAAATTTGAATAATAATTGATCAAACTTAGTTGACAAAAAAAAAAAATGATCAAACTTAAAAGAAAAATATAAAAAGAAATGAGGAGGGGGGGAAAGATATAAAAGGAAAGTGTCATAGACATAGACATAGTAGCCAGATTTGGAGAGATGGCATCTCTTCCACGGAAATGCCTTTGAAAGCTACGTCACTCCTTTTTCTACAATTTTCGTCAAATAGTTTTTTTTTATTTTATTTTATAAGAAAACGTAATTATTGAGCCTCTGGGACAGCCAGAGTGTCTCTTCTCGTATATGTCCTCATGCAATAAATTCGACCAAAGATTTGGTTAACCGTAAAAGCATCCATGTACCTATATATATATATATATATATATATATATATGTGAATTCTAACATCTTAGAATAAAGATACCAAGTGATGAAGTTTGGATGCATACAAATATTAAACTGGTCACACACAATCAGACCATAATTGCATTAGCACACAATACTTATTACGTTGTTTTGCGTTCGACTAAATATATAAACCTTGTATATAATTGAAGGGAAAAAATACGAACCATAATCTCCCTTTTGCATTGACTGTGGTTTGACTCAACAGTGGAAAGAAACGTTTATTAGCTGGCGATGCCGACCCTTTTGCCTGACCTCACGTGCTTCTTCTGTATCTCTCATTCTATTTAGTATTTACACACTCTTATTAGTATACATATTTACTATAGTAGTAAACTGTGTTAAGTTTATATACATAAAGAGACGAACGAACAAATTATGCTTGGCGGACGTGAATTTAATCATCTAACTAGTATCATGGTCTAATTTTCTGAACCATCTGGTCATAGTTAAGGTTTCAGATTTGGGTCTAATTACGTTAAATATTTCAAGTCACTCGCTCGGCCTCTAATGAATATATCGTGCAGTCAATCACATGGTTAAAAAAACGCTTTTCTCAGGTGATGAGTGGCGAATGGGTTTATGCCACGTGTCGTTTTTTAAAGAACCCCCTGCTCTCGTCCGCATGACTGGTCAAAGATTTATACTATTCCGAAATAATTGATTTGACCTTTTTGGTAATTAATCCAACAATATTATTAAGTATTCATTGATGAAATCATATATTCTGATATTAATAGTTTGGTGGACAAAGAAAAGAGAAAAAGTTGTTTGTAATAACTTGGAATTTCACATTTAGATGACAATTAATTATAAGTCCAAATACTAAATTTTACTATTTTATTAAGTTATTTGAATTCTTAAATAAATATCATGAGCCACTTATTTAGACTTTCCATCCAAAAAAACATCTACCATTTGAACAAAATTTCTAAATTTTGAAAAGTGGATGATATTTGGATGGAAGATGGTGAAAATAAGTGGCTCATGATAATCATATCACATACTGCATAGATATGAATAACCACTAAAAATATTTTAAATTTACTTTTTAAAAATGTTTCTTAAGTTTATAGTTGAACGATAATAAATATATGACTAAACATGATAATGTATTCTTTTTTGTTCATAAAATGATAATGTAATGACTAATGAATTCATCGAAAGCTGTTCACAGGGTACTACGGAGGCGTACGTGCAGGGTTACATTGTTTTATTTTTAATTATACAAAGCAACTAATAATAAAATCTTTTATTTTTGTAGTACTACTGTAGTAGTAGTTTCAACGAGTAAATAATACAGTAATTAATATAGAATTAGTTTGAACTTAATTCGACCGATAAGATAAGTAATTTAAAACTAAAGTCTTTAAAATGGTCGGCTTCGGATAAGCTGACAAATGGAAGCAATGAGCTGTCGATGATTAGTTGGAATATGTGCTGCGTATCTTCCACTGACCAAATACGATCCTTCCCTAATTAATTATTTTTTAAACACTAATAAAAAGTTTATTACGAACCTGTACACTATATATAAACTCTCAAAGCCCAGTTAGAAGGAGATCTGTAGGATTGATAAGGCCCAATAGTTTAGCCCGTACTATTCGGAGAAGTATATTTTTGCATGTCGTTCGTTTTTTAATCTCTGCCGTGTTTTACCTCTATGAAAAGCTTGAACTGGTTTTTCCGTTGCTGGCCTTTAAACTCTTTAAAGACACAACCACATCGTTTTCACAGTGAAATTCCATAAAAAAAAAAAAACTTTTAGAAATAAAAATATATTTTGATAATCAAAAGGTTTTGAGTTAAAAGAAAAAAAAACATGTTTTCGACATTAAAAATCTTTTTTTGTAAAATAACTATTAACAAAGCTTTAAAATTACAATATTACACAATATGTGAAAACATGTTAAAATTATGATACTGAATTTTATGGACAAAAAAGCGGGATGATAAATCAGGTTTGTTTTCGACATATTAAAAATTTAACATTTTTTCTTAGAAATGAAAGCATTTTGTTTAGTTAAAAATTAAAATGATTAACTTAAAACATTATTTGGTAAGAAAAACCTTAAAACTCAGCTAAAATGTTAAATTTATATCACATGAAAACATGTTAAACATTTTACTACCAAATCAATATTTATTAATTTGATTTTTAAAAAATCTAAAAATTCGAATTTAAAACTTGAATACTAAAAAAAAAATCAAAATAACGACATGTTGAATTTGTGAAATTTCTAACGACTAATACGAGAGATCCAAAATCTGGTTAGTATTCATATATCATTATGTAAATTTAGAATAAAAGAAAACAAACAAAAGAAAGAAATTTTTTCAAAATCCGAAGAGAACAATTTTTTAAAAATCTACATAAAGATGATATGGAAACATGTTGAATTTGTGGAATCTTTAACGACTAATACGGGATCCAAAATCCGGTTAGCTTTCATATATAATTATGTAAATTTAGTATCAAAACAATAAAATTAGGATAACAAACACAAGGAAAAAAAACTTTTTAAAAATTCAAATTAAATCAAAACAATAAAATTTTTATAAAAAAAATACAAGAAAAAAAACCCTTTAAAATCCGAATTGAAAGCTTAAATACTAAAAATCTATATAACGATGATATGAAAACAAGTTGAATTTGTGAAATCTCTAACGACAAATGCAGGATCCAAAATCAGGTTAATTTTCATATATCATTATATAAATGTAGTATCAAAACAATAAAATTTAGAAAAAACCAACACAGGAAAAAACAAAATTGTTAAAATCCGAATTAAAAACTTGAATACTAAAATCTAATGATATGAAAACAAGTAGAATTTGTGGAATCTCTAACGACAAATGCGGGATCCAAAATCCGGTTAGTTTTCGTATATTATTATGTAAATTTAGTATCAAAACAATAAAATTCAATAAATAAACACAAGAAAAAAGCTTTTAAAAATCCGAATTAAAAACTTGAATACTAAAAATCTACAAAACGATGATATGAAAACAAGTTGAATATGTGGAATCTCTAACGACAAATGCGGGATCCAAAATCCGGTTAGTTTTCATCTATCATTATGTAAATTTAGTATCAAAACAATAAAATTTAAAAATCAAACACAAGAAAAAAAAGCTTTTAAAAATCCGAATTAAAAACTTGAATACTAAAATCTACATAACAATAATATGAAAACAAGTTGAATTTGTGGAATCTCTAACGACAAATGCGGGATCCAAAATCCGGTTAGTTTTCATTTATTATTATGTAAATTTAGTATCAAAATAATAAAATAATAAAAGAACACCCAAAAAAAGCTTTTGAAAATCCGAAGAGAAAATATCAAAATTTTGTATAAGAAAAAACTTTGAAAAATGTTGAAATTTAGTTGTAAATAATCATCAAAACTAAAAAAACATTTAAAAAAAATAAAAAAGAAGAGGAAAGAAGTTCGTTACCAAGCAATAACATGATGTGTTCTCTCTATCATTCCACAGAAACCAAAACAGTCTCGGCGAATCTTGATTAATTAAGATAGGAACCTACAATGACAAGAAGAAAACTGAAGAGGTTGATTAATTTAGAAACAAATTGATAACAGAGACAGACTAGAAAACTATAGGTCGGGTTAATTTCGTAAAGCTAACTACAAGAGCAACCCTAGTTCCTCTGATTCAGAAAAGTCAATAGAGACTTTTTTTTCTTTTTAAAAATTTTGAATCCAAAGTTCAGAGAGATCAAATAGAAATTTAGGCGAGAAGCAATAAACCTGGCTCTCGTGACAACGGCGCATATGATGCATCCATGGTTTGCGTCACCACCTCCGACTCTCGGTGAGATCCTCCATGATTTGCCGGAGATCGTGAAACGCAAAAAACAAAGAAACGGAGAATAAGAACGGTGTGGGCAGATCTTTGATCGTGTGTTCAACCATGAGTTACAGTTTGGTGCGGATGGTCATCGAGCTATGACGTTCTCGAGATCGGTGACAGAGCTTGATCAAGAAGAAACAGAGACTAAAAAGAAAAAGAAGGACAAAGGTGGATTATTGTTTTCAAAGAAAGAATGAATAATGATTTCTCAAAAAAGCTGATTTGCTATATATAGAGAAACGTTAGGTTGTTAAAAAGAAAAGGGAAATTTCCATTTTATATTTATTATCAAAAAAATAGGAAATCACTCACACAAATATAAAAAAAAAGAAGGAAATTGATCACATTGCTAATAAAAAGTTACCGTTACAAAAATCATATATCATTTTACTTCCTAACAATTTATTTGACGTGACTTGCTATTTAATTTGTGAGGATGATGAAGAATGAGATGTGTTTTTGTTATATATGGCGCTATTTAAATTTTTTAAGTCTTTTGATTTTGTGGTATCTCTACACTGAAAAAAAAAAGTGAGACAAGAGGCATTTTATGCTTGTATTCTAAGTCTCACTTCCGTTTACCAGTTACGCTCGAACGCTTTAATTGTTTTGACATTTTTTCCAAGTTCTGATATTATTAACATATAAAACAATATGGAAAAAGCTTAACTAGTTAAAATATGTAAGGTGTTTATAGATGCAACAGTCGAATATTCTGGCTATGTAGGAATCACATCATTCATATTATTGAAGATGTTGAAGTTTTTAATCTCTGCCGAGTGTTTACTTTTTTATATATACTCTCTGAGATGATCCTTGTCTATTCATATCTGTTTCTGTACCAAAGTACATAAGCTTAATCCGTTGGAGATCTTCCGTAATTTCTATCATTGTAGGCCTCATGTTTCTGTGAAAGGATAAGCAGCGAAACGCCAATTCGGCTAAGTTGTGGATAGATGCAAACATTTTCGGATCGATGTCTGTTTTTAAGCAGGGATCGATGATATCTACCACACGCCCTTTTCCGATCCTGTCAACCGCAAGTGAGGCTAGGTTCACTTCAGTGTAGGGACGGGTGAAATCTATGACTTTAAAGCCTGAGATGATTTCAATGAGAACAACTCCAAAGCTATAGACATCACTCTTGTCCGAGAGCTGAAAATCTTGGTGATACTGAGGGTCTACATATCCAGGAGTGCCTTGTGGAGCCGTGGAGATATGAGATGCTTCGAAATCGGTGGACATGCCGAGCCTAGAGAGTCCGAAATCAGAGATCTTGGAGTTATATTCGTGGTCAAGGAGGATGTTGCTAGATTTGATGTCTCGGTGGTAGATAGGAGGGTTTACTGAAGAGTGGAGATGTGCTATTGCGTTTGCGGTTTGACACGCTATGGCGAGTCGGAGAGGCCAAGAAAGCGGTGTTTGGCCTCTCTCGTGTTGTAAATGCTGATAAAGCGTTCCGTTTGGCATGAACTCGTAGACTAGAAACGGTTCTCCATCTGCAAAGCAACAACCTAAGAGACGGACTAGGTTTGGGTGGCTCACAGAGGAAAGAAGCTTGATCTCGTTAACAACTTGGTCAATGCTTGTGGTGTCTTTGTGTCTGAGACGTTTTATAGCGACACACGAGCTGTTTGGGAATTCGCCTGCGTAGACTGTTCCGTACGCTCCGGTTCCGAGCATGTTCTTGTCGGAGAAACTGTCGGTAGCTTTCTCAATCTCTTTGTAGGTGTAGAAAGGAACGCTGGAGTTTCCGGCTAGCTCGCAAAGTAAGCGATTCGCGATTGATGTTCTTGCAGATCGCTTGTTCCGGAAGATATATGTAACTATCAAGACCGCAATTACTAAAACTCCAACCAAAATCCCTGCTGTTATAACAAAAAAACCAAACAATATTCAACTACTCGAGACTTCATTAAACCGGAACTAATTAATGCTTAACCGAATAATAGGATTAGTAATTTACTTACCAGTACCAAGAACAATGAGTTTGTGTAGTCCTTTGCGTTTACGAACTGAAACATGAGAGTAAAGAAGAAGTCAGCTTTTCCTCCTTGCTACGTGTCAGTGTAACATTGGTTTTTGTCTGTCGGTCAAAGTTTGAAAACAAAAGTCAAAAACCGGAACGAACCTAATCGGTGGCAACCACCAGGCACGGTGAAGGCTTTACCGCTAAATCCTTCGCGACAAGTGCAGCGATGACCGAGTCCCCCGTCGGCGAGCTTAACATTGGCACAGTCTGCGTTCTCCGAGCAGGTGATGTTACTGCAACTTCCCTTAAGCCACCAATCAAGCTTGAGTCGACCCAAATTGACCGAAACTTGCGATTGAGAAATCGAAGAGAACCAATACTTACATCCACTTCCGTTGACAACGTCTCCGATACTCATCACATCGGCAATCGTCGTCGTTGTTGTTCCGTTGAAACAGCTTACCTGAGATTTACATCTGCTGATATTTAACCGATCCTCAACGAATTTACTCCGGATTAAACAATCAAAAGAGTGTTCCGTGCATCCTTGGACGAGAATTATGTTCTGTAATTTCGATGGAGCGAAATTTTCCCGGAAGAGCTGTTCGATTTTACCAATCCCGCGTTCGCAAACCGGCGGTATTTTGACGTATATGTTGGTGTTTGTCACTTCTTGCACAGCGAATTCACCGATCACGGCCTCTCCGGTTATCTCAGAGCAGTTGAATCGGATCGGATAACCGTCGGAGAAACCGAACGGGTAACTGAGCGAACCGGTCTTGCACTTAACCGAACCGGTGGTCTGTGTAGCAACGGCTAAAGTGAAGAAGAAGACGAAGACGAGATACGGTGGGCGAGTTTCTGCCATGGAGAAAAAGAAGGATAATGATGATGATACCCGAATGATTGTCCCAATGGCAGAGACTGTAAATTCTGCAACTTCATTTCCGGTTTTTTAGTCATTTTATCATAATGTCAATTGACCTTTCTTTATAAGGGGCAATGTTGTCATTTGGGATTCAACGTTCGTTAATCATGCATCATAGGCGATGATTAAATGAAATTGTCCCCAGTTTCCAACTAATAACAACGACAGATAAGATACAAATAAACAAATTCTTTGGAATCCTCTTGTTATTATCACATTAAGAAATTGTTAAAATACATAGGTGTTCAGGGATATAAAAGTCAATTCTTCATTTCTTTGTACTAAATCCACATCAGATCATCATTACACAAAACTAAAAACTTGTTGAAAAGTGTGGACTTCTGTGAAATTCCAACTTCTAAGAATCTACGATGTTACTAATTACATAAATTATGAACACAATGTGGATCCAATAGCTTAAGTTACATAATATTATTAGCATTAGTCTGAAACCGGGCTAATATTCATTGCTGACGTTTTCTAAGAATGTTGTTCGACGGTCCAACTAAAAAAAATGACCCGTAGACTCTTGTTCATCAATAAACAAAACACAGTCAAGGGAAAAAGTTCAATAATCAACAAAAACTACTAATTCAACGAGTGTTACATAAGGATAACCCAAAAAAAACCCGGTAAAGGTTACGGGTCAAAAAACGCAATTAAAATACTCAAACCAAAGTCTACAAACTACAGAGCATAAGCCTGATTTATTGAAGTATAAGAACAACAAACTAAATCATTTTTTCTTCAACAGTGAGATTGTGTCTGGTTCCTTGCTTTCTCCTTCTCCTTAGCTTCGCTACCTTGAGTTTTGTCATAATCTACAATAACGAAAACGGACTCACACACACACACAGAATCGTAAAAAATCAAAGTTATCATCTAAATTGTAAGAGATGTATTTACGATAACTAAATATTGTGATTACCAGGGTGATTCTCATGGATCTCGTTTTCCTTTTGAAGTGTTTGATTTCCTCCATAGGTTCCTCCAAACCCTTCTTCATCACACCTCGTTGCGTACCCTTCTCCGTACGAATGCGACATCACGTCACTGCTCCATCAAAGTTAAGAAGAGAACAAAAAACATTAGAAACAAACAAATCAAAATTAACGAATCAGAAACCACTACACACATAAGGGGAGGAGACGAACCCGGTTTTCTCGTTTGGGTTTTCAGGCTTTTTATCCATCTTTTGCTGATCATCAGAAGCGGTGGCAAAACTAACTCCAGTGACTTTCCGGCCTAATCGAGACGGCGGTGAGAAGAAATAGACGGTATTCGAGGGCAGTGATCGGATGGACTTTAACGCGTTGATCATTTCTCAGCTTTTGGAGGTTTCTTGAAGCTTAAATTTATAGAGCAAGTAGGTTTTATTCTTACGAGGAGGAGACGATAAGTTTTAAGTGGTAATAGGTTTATGATACGATCATACGTGTCATGTGACAAATGTATTAATGTGGAGTTAACGCAATTAAGTACGTCAGGATTAAGCTTAATTAAGCGTCCCTGTCTGCCGACATAATAGTACGACGGTGTCTTGATCAGAGTTCGCCTCGTGTTACTCTAGTGACAGGTGGCGGGACTTTAGCAAGTAGCTGAATACGTGTTTGTCAGAACTGCGACATGTGTAGAGCACTGCAAGGGTTCAGACTTCTATGACAAATCCTCTTTTAGCAATTTGGGCCATAAAAAATCTAAATGGCCCAAGTAAGTTGGGCCGGAACTCGTCGCAAAGACATCGAGAAAAAAGAGTGGGAGCCACGTGACCGTTATTAAAGCAGACGGATAGAGGACGTGGGAGTGATGTCATCATTGGCACACTCAACAAAAAAGAAAAATCAGTACAGTGACTGAGACTGACACTGAAAGACTCAAATAGAGTAAGTGTGGCAACTTTGACACATAAGAAACAAAAGAAGATGAAGTTTGCTTTACAGTGAAAAGAAAATGACACTTAAATTCAACACACCTCTCTGATATTTGTTATATCTTTGCACGTATCGACGACATTTAGGCTCATAAGTTGTACCATGTTCAGATATACAAGATTTCATATCTTTTTCTGAGCAAAATTACAAATAAAAGAGTAGTTACAAATATTATTGGCTTTCACCTTCCTAATCTTATGAAAAAATAATTACATCTTTAAACAAATGACCAGAACCGGTCACTTATCCACCATAGAAAAAAAGCAAACCAGTTTAAATTATCTAAAGAGAAAAACAACAAGACTAAGAGCAGCTGTTTAAACCAACTTCACAAATCCAAAGATGTTACCAAAAAAAACACATAAGGTTCAGAGAATTCAAAACCTACCACTATGAGCAAACCATGGAGTATATTAACAATTAAATATTTGTCTAACCAAAAATAACATTGGAAAGAAAACAAAACTAAGAATACCGGATCGGTTCGGTTATCGCCAAGAAGAAAGAGTGAGGAGAGGTAAATCGTTCCAGGCCAAAGAGATGAAGCCAGGCTTAGATTCAACAAATGAATACAAATTGCTGTAATTGTAATTCCACAAAAGAATCTTGGCTTGGCTCACTGCGTAATTACTCAGCTTAACCGATTCAAAACCGGCATTCTCCATTAATACCCGCCATTGCTCTTTCTCTTCCATTCTTTCTCTGTGGATTCCGGTTTTCTCCGGTCCAATCAAACCCGAGATTCTCCGGCCGAACAACTCTCGCTCAACTCTCACTCTCTCTTCCGAATCACGCCCCAAGTTCGCTTCAAGAGATTCGAAAACCGCGGAATAGAATTGAAGAGCGTTTTTCACCCGGTTAGCGAAACCGACCCGGTTTAAGCTCACTTCGTATTCTCCGAGAGTGACGACCCTCGGGTTTAACGATTTGGCGAGCCTCAGGGCGGTGTCAACGATGGTCGGTGTCTCGTCGAGTAATTTGTAGAGCTGAAGCATGAAATTCACGGCTAGTACTTCATCCGGGTCGACCCGGAAACTTGACCCGTTTAGTAAATGTATGGGAGTGAGAATTGGGATGAAATCGAAATTCAGATCCAGAACCTTGGCGAAATCACGGAGGCGGTTTCCGGTGGCGATTAACGACGGTTCCGGAGAATCACCGAGAGATGGAGCGGGTATACCCGAGACCCGGATTTGAGTGGGTTTACCAGAAGAACGAGTAGCTAGAGCTTGAAGAAGAGCAGGCCATTGAATACCTTGAACGATTCCAAAATCGACGATGTGAATCTTGTTTGAATTCTCCGTTGCTTCTAGAATCGCTTGATTTGCCGTCAAATGTGCGAATTTGGAGTATGGACATGCGTCGTTTAGGGTTTTATAAGATAAGATTAAATCCTCCGTAGACGAAGACGACGACGTCGCCGGCGAATCTGGAGATAGTCTGTTGGAGAGAGCTTCCGTGAAGTAAAAGCCCACTCGCTCCGTCGGATCACCTAGCTCCGATACAGATTCTCGGATCTGGACAAGCGTCTTTGAAGCTTCGTTAGGGTCAGATTCTGAGATCCGTGCACAGTCGTAGATAGCTCTGAGGAGAGGAGGTTCTAGGTCGAAGTCATCGTCTTCGGAGTCGTTAGTCTCCGGATCTTCTTTGGTTGGTGACTCATGAGGAAGCGGAGGAATCGATAATGGGGAAGAAGGAGGCCACAAGGTCGGCGGAGGATGAGGAAGTGGACTCGACGTGTTTAGATCTGACGGTTGGACACTGAGTCGACTCGGGTAAGTATCGAAAGGATCAGGACCGTAGATTACGTAATCGGGATTATTATGCCACGTGTCGCAATCAGGAGCGTCTCCACCGCTAATAAGAGTCTCCATCCACTCGTCGGACTCAAACTCACCACCGCCGGTTCCGCCGCCGAAATCAGATAGCCTAAACCCACCGCCGGCGGATGTGGCGTGGTGGTGGTCTAAGTTAGGAAAAGGAAAGGCAGGATCGTTGGAATCTCCGCCGGGGGAAACTTGAAACGGGTCGGGAAAAGCGGAACCGGAAAGGCCAAAAGCGAGGGAGGTGTTGGGCCATGGGTTAAGAGACAAAGGGTTGATACCAAAAAGCTGATGGTCTTGATGATGATGATGATGATGATGATGTTGTTGCTGTTGTTGTTCTTGTTGCTGCTTCTGTTTGATGACTTGTTGAGCAATAGCCATTAGATTGCCACTATCAGTGCACATGTAAGCCATTCTCACGCCCAGATCTCTAATTACCCGGCGATCTGCCTGAAGAGTTGCGGTCACTGTAAAAACCGAAGAAGACGATGACGGAGAGGGAGAGAGAGAAACGGCGGGATCTCAAGAGAGAGAGAGAGAGAGGTAAAGTGAAGAAGAAAGAAAGGTCAGCCCTAGAAAGCGGATCAACGCTTTGATTAAAATCTGACCGTCTGATTTCATTGTGGGCCTCTCATTTTCTTTGATTTTCTTTACTATATTTTTTTTTTTGGGTTATTTTTAAAGATTGTAACGGTAATAATACCGATTAAACACACCACATACTTGACCAATAACCAACCAGTCATGCATATACATCATACTATAATCTACAAGAAAGAGAGATACGTACAAGATACTTCCACATTAGTTTTTGTATGTAAGAGAATGTTATTATAGTGATAATCAAATCTGAATTCGAGTTCAAAATAATGGGTTTTAGATGAAGTATATATGTTTAGTGGGTCCATGCGCCCAAAAAAACGCAGAATCCTTTTATGACGCAATAAAAAAAAATCATAATAGTTAAGTTGAAAGACGGATATGACATATAATCGCCGAGGTTGTTCATATTAATGTCTCCATTTGGGATATGTGACAATATAAACTTGTTCACTGACGGATACTCTCGCGCCAAAACAAAAAATTAAACATTTTTATAATCAAATACTAAAAAAAAATTGTTTGCTAAACAAAGAAATAAAAGGTCAGTGGGAGGAGAGGATGACGAAGCTATGGGTCCTTCTTCATCACAAGACAAATAGACGACTCCCTCATTTCTTTGTCAATCTTTCTTGATATTTATTCACTAATTAATTACTCCAAATTATACAATATTTTCAACAAAATCTTATTTTAAAGATGAAACTTAACCTAAAGTTTCCTTCAAAATTTAAAGAGTGATCAAGATTGAGAAGAGAGAAGTGTTCTCTTCTATATTTTTTAGTGAATGAATGAAACCAAAACCCATCTCTCATCCCGCTCTTTTCGGGGGACCCAACTGGCTGAGGTCCACCCACTGTCTACGATGACATCATCATACTGAAGTGTTCCTGTCATCTTTAGAGCATGCACATAGTTGGTACTCATAGAGTATCATTAAGAATTTTTTAGTATTAATTTTAATGTTTGTTTATTAATTGAGATTTTTTATGATACTGCTAATAAATCTGTTTCCAGTGGTGAACCGGTATCGGTATCATTAATAAAAAAATAGATTATTTTGGTTGTTTTTATATGGTGACTTATTATGATATGATTTTTTTTGTCTTTGTTTTCTACTATAAATATTTTGTATAATTACAGAAACACCATTTCAAAATATTTGTAAGAAAATTATATGATGGCAATGGTAGCTATTTACCCGACATAGATGTATTATCAATTGTTAATTTGAGTGAACGTATGAAAGTTTTGTTTTGGTCAGAAGAATTTTTACATTGCATACTTTTGACAAGAAATTTTACTGTTTTGGACAAAAGATTTTCCATTGGTAAATACATCACAGTTCGAGTTATGTAGTCACTTGATTTGTTGACTAAATAAAAGAATTATAGTGTTCACATATAATTTTCCAAATTGCAAAGTACAAACTGTTTGTAGTTAACAAAAGTACCAGTTTACATAACCAAACAAGACGTTTAAACCAAAAAACCGGTTTTCATGATAGAGAAACTAGACCAGAGATGAGCTGATGTTATTCTAATCTTGATAGGCACTAGGATATAGTTACCTTGAGTACAATGTTGCCTTTTAATACCAAGAGCTCTGCATCCGTTGTTTGATCCATAACTCCAAATATTGCAGCTCCTTATTTCTTCATATTCATATACTCAACAATTGGTTTTATACGATCCAATGTGATCAGTATTTGAATTGTCTACTCTGTTATACTATCAAACATGAGTGTTTGATTTGATTATTATTTCATAGTTCATACCTTTAATTCACAAGTCATACCAGCTTGTTGAAGAAAAGGAAGAGCTGCTTGACCAGCTTCAAATAGTACAGTCTTGTCATCAATGCCATGAGACCACACGATTGGTGGCTGCATATGCAAACTATGGAGACTCAGAGACCCGAAAAACAATGACATGAAAATCGACATTTACCCTTTACAAGAAACCGAAAAACGGATGAATAACCTTTTTAGCATCTTCGGTAAACTGATTGATGATTGAAGAATTGAATGGAATCCATCCGCTAAAGACTGAACCTCCTCCAAGAGCTTTAGGGTAAAGAAGAACACTAGCCAGGGTTAATGCACCTGCAGAAAACCTTATGTCAGAAGTCGCAATGCAAGAAAATCAACACATTGTAGAGTCTTAGATCAGTAAGTAAATCCATGAAATGTGTAGCTACGGGGGATGCAAAGAGAGAGATCACCTCCTTGGCTAAATCCACAGATATACACATTTTCTGGATTTATTTCTCCTGCAATTTCCTTATCTATAATGGCATGAACGTTTGTAACTGCTTTAAGCAAACTGCTTTCATCTTTCGAAGATCCCTACCACATTCAAAATTACTTACTTGATGGCATAAACATATCTCTAGAACAAAACCAACTCCTTAATCAGTTAAAGCAGCTTGTTCTTCGTACATCATAAACCTTAACATCTACTGAACAACTATATAAGAAAACGTGGAGTAGGTACAATGTTAAGGAGTAAATGAGTGAAAGTAAAGAAGATAGAGAAAGAAACCAACCTGCCAGAAGTAGCGAAGGCAACAAGAAGCCCACCAGAAATCTCGCCATGGGAACCTTTTGTCTTAACGATCACCATATCCCACCAATTCTCATCGAATTCAATAGATCCCCTCTCTAGCTCCGACCTCAAATTCTTCCAACGAAATCAGACCGACGGAGACTAAAACGGAGGAGAAATCCTAATCCAAATTCAAATGCTTCCAGTTCAAGCTCGCGGTGATGGTCAGCAGAGGAGATGAATTTTTCTTTCTCTAGATCGAGTTTGAGACGGATCGCGAGTTTGAGAGGAGATTGATTTTTTTTTCTCTGTTTCACCAAAAAAATATGGTCCAATGGAAAACCGACACGTCACACAAATTTGAGTATCACAAGTATCAGTACACTGATACGTATCAGACCCAATATAGTGGTTTGGTCCATTATAAAATATTTTATGGGCTAATGATACTCAAAAAATATCACTGGTGGTCATGGTCTTAAAGATATCTCTGAATCTCTTTCCCATCACAAACTGCTCTGGACTCTCAGTGACAGTGAGTCACCTACCTCCTTAATTATTCATTTAAATACTTTTTTTTTTTTGTGCAAATTATTCATTTAAATACATGATCTTATTTTCATGGTTACCAAAAAATAAAAAGAATGCAAATTACTTGTTAATATTTACTAACACTAACATCATGATACAATATAGACGCATCGAAAATAATTAACTAATATAAGACATTATCTCAAATTGTATTGTCAAATTTATTCATTAAAAGCTTAAATTGCTGCTTAAGTGTGTATACGGGTGACTGATGGGCCCATGGATCAGCCCATATATGTAAGTTTCTAATATGACACGGAAAAGGGATCGCTGGTGGGGCCTTTCTAACTGTTATTGGACCGATCTTGCACAATTGAAGCAACCAATCTTTTAAAACGCTTTTTAAATTATCCAAAAATGCTAAAAAGAAACACAGTAAAATTTGCAAGGTTTTTAACGATATTCTGGCGTCTTTTTATTAAGTAACAGATACAAGAAGGGAAAATAATCAAAATATAATCTGACAACTTTTTCATCTTTTCACATATATAATTAGAAAATTTGAATCCTATATAGACTTTAGTTTTTCTTATGTATGCAATAACAACCATATTAACTGCCAGGTCCGGCTCATTCATCGGTAAGACCTGGTGCCATACAAAAAAAAATCCTATTTTTAATAAAAAATTTATATATATATATTTACAAAAAGTTATATTTCATAAATTATTTTGTATTTTATAGCTATTTGGACATGTTATTTTTGTTTATTAATTTTGGATCTCAATATTACCTTTTAAAATAAAATTTTGGGACTTTTACATATGGATATTTTATAAAATTTCAGCATAATTAAATAATTAAATAATAGAAAAACTATGAATTTGGACCTTAAATTTGTTGGACCCGGTGCAAATGCATCACTTGCACATGCCAATAACCGGCCCTGTTAACTGCAATGTTCACCAAAAATTCGAATGTGAGTTTGTTGTTGTTGGATATTTAAAGTATTTTCTTTTTATACATAAATATTTACTCTTTTAAGTGAATGGGAAAGAAGACAGTGGAAAAAACAATGTTTTAACCCTCTCGCTCTCGACTAATATCTCTTTTGGGGTTGCACCGTTGTCTCCACGTCAAAATGTCACTCACTTTCACTTTGGTGACCCACTTCTTACCACTACCTCACTGTTTCTTTTCTTTCACACCAATACACATCTCTCGCTCTCTCAGTTTTTGCATAATATACAGTCTCATAGTGTTTTTCAGATTTCGTATATTTTCATAAAAACTGGTGGTTTAGGTAATTTCTCTATAATTTGGTTCACTTTTATTTAAAATAAATTAATTTTTATTCTAATGAGTTATACTCCCTCCGTATTTTAATAAGTGTCGTTTTAGGATTTTCTTTTTTAAAAAATTAGATGTCGTTTTCAAATTTCTATGCAAAATTTTTTACTTTTTAATGTTTTATGATATCATAAAACATTAAAAAGTAATAAATTTTGTATAGAAATTTGAAAACGACATCCAATTCAAAAAAATAAAAATTCTAAAACGACACTTATTAAAATACGGAGGGAGTATATATGAATTTTTCCACATTAAGCGTAAGTTCCGTTACCCGGTCAAAATAAATATGAAAAAGATTTTACTTTAAGATAAGGATAAGAAAAAGAAAGGTGTATGATGAGTGAGTAAAACCCTACTTTATTGACAAGGTTGGATGAAGCTTAGACGATTTAATAACGACGTTCCTCGATTTCTCTTTCATACGTTGCGTTTTAAGCATTGGCTAAGTCAGCTTTTGTGTCGAAAAGGGATTAATTAATTATACAATTGATGGGGTTTGGAATTGTTAAATGTGAAATGAGCAGGTTAATAGATAACGTTGGTTGGTGAAGTCGACTGGTTTGGTTTAATTTGTCGTGGAGCTTTCTAATTTTGTCATCGATTGGTTCTAATTAGGAATAACACACACGCATGCGGATAAATATAATATCTTACGGTTGATTAGTGTGATATTGAACTACATAATAAATCGAATTGATTGATGTGGGGCTAGTTTCAAAGCTAATTCAAGGTCGTAATCATACATCATTTATGTATTTACATTCACCGACTGTATCTGCAATTTGCATAATGTGGAAGAGCACTTTTTAGTATACGCCATAAGCAAGTGGACGACTTTAACAGAGAGACGCATTTTCTACAGACCAACATTATCATCCAGCGACGACGATCGGACCAATCTTATAATTCCCTCAGATCCGCAAATATTTGTACCTCTCTAATCAATAAAAGCTATTCCAAAAAAATAAAAACTCCCAGCTTTTACTATGGAAAAAGCAACCCTAAATTTGTTTTCCAAATGGTCGAAATTGTACTCGTGTTTACTTAATGATACCTATTATTATCACCGCAAAAATAACTTTTATCGATCGATACACAATTCGAACATAACTTTTGGAAGAAAAAAAACAAGAATGTCACCAAGGCGTTATAACAACAAGTAACAAAGAATGTAACAGACTAACAGTATCAGGAACAGATAAAGAAAATAATAATTGTAGGGTTTTTCTCTTCTATCAATTTATTTTCATCGTTTCTGGTGAAAAAACGTAAACCCAGTTTCAGAACACTCCTTTGTGCTCCATCAGCTCATACTGTAAATAGCAAATTCCTTTGTCTTCTCCTAATTCCCTTTTTGTTTTTTTTTGGGTTCCTGATTATTATTATTATTATTATTCCGATAAAAATAATATAGCATGGGCTCGATCAATACTCAATAGACACGAGCTTTGGGAGGGAAAGTGTCGATCTCATCGTCGAGAGTGTCCATGTGAACAGGCCTATACTCCAATCTCACTTTCTCATCTTCCCAATATCCCAATGTATGCTTCATCCATTCTCCATCCTCTCTTTTCTGCATACACATTCATTATGGTTTCATCATTATGGCATAAATCAATCAATGTGGAAAGGCTAAGGAAGGAATCAAACCGTGAAGTCTTCCCGAGCATGTGCTCCTCTACTTTCCTTTCGTGCTTCCGCTGAATGCATTGTTATCGAAGCGTTTATCAGAAGGTTCTCCAGCTCCAACGTCTCTATCAAATCAGAGTTCCTGCAAATTATTCATTAGTTTCCAAGATTAACAAGAGTTTCACCAGATTTTATAACAGTATAATAATCAATGCCATGTGAATGAAGTCTGTCTTACCATATCATACTCCGATCTTTCACCTGGACATCCCCAAAACTTTCCCAGGCCTTGTCAATCAACTGACAACCTGTCATTGTTTCACGGTAATAAATGGTAAAGAAAATGGTTTGCAGTTGCAGGTGAGAGCTTTAAATAAATGCAGAACAAATTCTGATAATTGTTTACCTTCTTCCAATGTTTCTTGCGTGCGGAACACAGCTGCGTTGTTCTGCATAACTCTCTGCATGTTCAATCTGATACTTGAGGTAGGAAGCGACCCATTTGAGTTTCTCAACCTGTCCAGCCATGCAATAGTCTTCTCACCCGCATCCTTCTCAAGAGGTTTCTGTTTCTCCCCTGCACCAATCGAATAAAGAAAAAAATGATCAGAAGAGACTTATCTTTTATAATAATAGCAGTCTCGAGATCCTCAAAAAAGACCAACCTGGTTTGCTTATCTCCGCAACCCTATTTGCACAAGCACGACCAAAGACGACAATGTCGAGCAATGAATTTGCACCAAGCCTGTTGGCACCATGAACAGATGCACAAGCTGCCTCTCCAGCAGCCATTAGCCCAGGTACCACTGCATCTGGATTATCGCCTTTGATGGTAACTACCTGCAGGATTTAACAGAATTGCTTTCAGTGATAGGCTTCGAATGCATCTCATGCTTCACTCAACACAAATTTCAGTAAAGTTTCTTAAAAGACTTTTCTTACCTCGCCATGGTAGTTTGTTGGGATACCACCCATGTTATAATGAACCGTGGGTAAGACGGGAATTGGCTCTTTGGTAACATCAACACCAGCAAAGATGGCAGCGGTCTCAGAGATTCCAGGAAGCCTTTCTTTCAGAACTTCTGGAGGAAGATGATTCAGATGGAGATAGATATGATCCTTATGCGGTCCTGGAAGATATCAGCAAAAGTTGTCCAGGATGAGAATCAAACTAGACGAATCACAATATCAAAAGCATAGATACACCTTGAAATCACGTAATGAGAGTTTGCTCCGAAAATTAAAACTTGTTTTCAGTGGAGCATACCTACACCACGACCTTCCCTGATTTCCATAGTCATGGATCTGGAGACAACATCTCTTGATGCAAGATCCTTGGCTGTAGGAGCATATCGCTCCATAAA